CATGGATTTCCCCTCCTGATGTCACAACGTTTTCTCATTCTCCTTAGTGCAATCGAATGTTGGCATTCCTCAGTGTCCTGTCCAGCCTCTCTTTTCTTATTCTGCCTACTCTACCTGAGCCATTTCATCACTTCCAAGGTGCCCATGAGGAGCAGAAGATGTTGATGACTTTCATATCTATTTCTCCAACCTACATCTCTCCCCTGAGACACCACAGTCCTGAGCCTAATTCTCAGCCTCACCTTTTAAGGCTCAGAAACTTGATTTACCTGCTTTTCAGAGTGGCTTTTTCTCAGAGGAAACAAAGTTATAATTGTCACATAGTAAAGATGCCAAAGATGTTAGGAGCTGTCTTCATTGATTGCACTGATATTATTAGTGGTATTGTTAGCATATTCGTCGTGAACATTTAAGTAAAATGCCAATTTTTTAATGTGCTAGTGATTTTTAAAACAATAAATTAAAGCCCATTCTGAAAGGGGTGGGGGGATCAAAAGCAAAATGGCTCCTCATGCCTGATTGCAATAACATACAACAATGGAACGAGTTTCCATTATTTTGTCCAATTTGGGGGGAAAGATTTTATATTGTACAACCTCAGTGTAGAGCATGTTTTGGGGCTTCAATTCAAAGGAAGAATAAAAATAAAACTCAAGGTCAATCAAATGTTATCCAAAGTCATTGAACCTCACTCACTTCCTTTTAATTAAGGTCAGGCTCAACTCTTGACTTCCCATGTGACCCACTGACCTGAGAAAGTAGGTTGGCTTAATGAACATTTCCTCCAAAAAAGGAAGAGGCAATTATAATAAGTATCAGAAAAACAAACAAACAAACAAACCTTCCATTTCAAGTGGCTTTCCTCCAAATCTTCCTCTCTCCTCAGCAACTGAATTCTCTCTCCCTACCATACTCCTTCACCAGCCTCTCTTTCCACAGCTCCTGGTCTTGTTCTCTTCTCTCTGTAAATGGTGAGTAGGACGATAGTAGGATGTCTAATTTTGGACGATAGAGCTCTGCTTTATCCTGTCTTACACGTAAATATTACTACCTGCATTACTTCACTCTTGGCCTAGGTAAACTCTGCCTCTGAATGTGCCTCCCATCAAACTCCATGTTTTGAGTGGGTTCCTCTGCTGTAGATCTCAACCCCCACATCCACCCCTGATCTCTTGAATTCATCTCTCTTCCTGGTCTCATTTCCAGGGAAACAACAAGCAGCTAGCTGCAGCCATTGCCTTGATTAACCATCAAGTCCCCCAGTGCCTTCTTCCCTGCCTTCTTCAGCACTTGGTGATTTGGAAGTTGGGGGTCATACTTCCTGCTCGACTGCCCTAGATGCTTAGAGAAGCATTAAGAGCAGCATGGCTCTGACCCTACAGTACCTGCGTTTGAACCCTACCCTCACTGTTACTAGCTGCCCACTCCTACGTAGAGTACCTAGCCTGTCTATGCCCCAATTTCCTAATCTACAACACTAGGGAAGTACTAGTACCTTCTTCCCAGGGTTAGGGTCAAGGTTAAATGAGATGAACCAAATAGAGCACTCATGATGTTTACTGGCTCATATCCAGCCCTCAAGGAGTATAAGTTATCATTATCCTTTTCCTACCAAATTCTGCTTCATCATAACATTTTGCCCTCAAAACCACTGTATAAATAATACATACAGTATCTTTTGTCTGCAGTACACACACAGCCAACATTATTCATTTTTAATACCTAATAAATTGCAAAGGGAAGTATCTCGCAACATATCAAAGTCTTCAGATGGGGCACCTGGGTGGCTCAGTCATTAAGCGTCTGCCTTCGGCTCAGGTCATGATCCCAGGGTCCTGGGATCGAGCCCCGCATGGGGCTCCCTGCTCGGCGGGAAGCCTGCTTCTCCCTCTCCCACTCCCCCTGCTCGTGTTCCCTCTCTCGCTGTGTCTCTCTGTAAAATATATAAATAAAATCTTTAAAAATAAATAAATAAAATAAAAAATAAAAAAACAAGGTCTTCAGATAAAACTCCTAATAATCTGTGCTTTAAAATGACGCATCCATGCGATGTTCTTGAAGCAACTGGGTTTAGTTCTTGGTCGTAGAACCAACTTGACCCTGGGAGTGGGGAGGGTCCAGCCCTTAACAGTGTACACAGTGGTTTTAAGTGCCTGAGCAATTTTGATCCTGCCAACAGCACTCTGAGGGGGCATTATTACCCCAACATTGCAGATGTAGGAACTGAGACCTGCAGAGGTTTAGGAATTTGCAGAGGAGACTCTAATCACACTAGTAGGACAGAGCCAAATTGGAATCCAGATCATCTGACCCTATGTCTTCTGATTCCCAAATGTTTTTGCTACTTGACCATGCTGAGTAATAGGCCCCATTTCGCTGTGACTACTTTAGTAACTAAAATAGATGATTAGATCTAATATCAAGAATAGTTTTGGGGGGCGCCTGGGTGGCTCAGTCGTTAGGCGTCTGCCTTCGGCTCAGGTCATGATCCCAGGGTCCTGGGATCGAGCCCCGCATGGGGCTCCCTGCTCGGCGGGAAGCCTGCTTCTCCCTCTCCCACTCCCCCTGCTTGTGTTCTCTCTCTCGCTATCTCTCTCTCTGTGTCAAATAAATAAATAAAATCTTTAAAAAAAAAAAAAAAGAATAGTTTTGGGGCACCTGGGTGGCTCAGTCGGTTGAGAGTCCAACTCTTTTTTTTTTTTTTAATATTTCATTTATTTGACAGAGAGAGACACAGCGAGAGAGGGAACACAAGCAGGGGGAATGGGAGAGGGAGAAGCAGGCTTCCCACAGAGGAGGGAGCCCGATGCGGGGCCCAACCCCAGGACCCTGGGATCATGACCTGAGCCGAAGGCAGATGCTTAATGACTGAGCCACCCAGGTGCCCCGAGAGTCCAACTCTTGATTTCAGCACAGGTCACAATCTCAGGGTCCTGAGATCCAGCCCCGTGTCAAGCTCCATGCTCAGTGAGAGTCTGCTTGAGATTCTCTCCCTCTCCCTCTGCCTCTCTCCCTCCTCCCACACACTCTCTCTCTAAATTAAATAAATAAATAAAATCTTTTTTTAAAAAAAGAATAGTTTTGTTAATTATTGGACAGTTATTGAGCAACCCCTGGGTGAGGGTAAAGATAAAGAAAAATAAATCTTTGCCCTTTGGTAGAGTAGTTTTTGATAAAGGGGACATAGCTGTGAGGAAGAAAGACTCAAGAACTCTTACAAAGCAGCATGCAATCTCTTATGAAGGCTATTTCACATTTTAATGTCTCTGGATGATTTCAAATCAATGAAATGTCATAGCATACTAGGTAGCATTTGTTTTCTTTCTCGGTGGCACATAAAATAACAGTGATGCATAATCACTGTCATCTTAGAGTCAAGAAAATATAAAATAATTAAAGAGCCATTTATTTTATAGCAATCAACAAGCATTAGTCAAAAGTAAATCTTTTTTATACATAGTTAATAAAGTTAATATCTGTTACCACAAAACTATAAGTCATCAGTATCACCATTATTGATTCCCACTATCTGGCTCAGGTTCAAGGTCCCCTCTGTCAGAAGCAGGCACAGCAAAAGTCCCTCAGGGTTGGTTCAGAGCAGCCTGCACAAATGCAGCTATCAACTAGGTTAACAATTCCAGAGGACAATATAATGAGGGAGTTAAACATGCATATAAAATCCTCATACAGGGAGAAACATTTGAATAAACAAAATGGTAGGTGAGTTCAGACAGAAGGCCCACACAGTGTTTCTGGAGACCCAATGAACGTTGGACTTTCAGAGAAGTCAAATACCAGGGGGTGCAACGGCCGGGGGTGGGGGGGAGGCGGGGACGTCCCGGTGGAGGCATCTCTGTGGTGCAGGGGACAGGAACATACAGAGGGTATTTGGCAAGTAGTGCCACACGCCGGACATATGTGGATCTGTAAGAGGTCAGGTGACAGGGAAAAATAAAAGTGTTACGGATTTTTTTTAATATTTATTTATTAGAGAGAGAGCGCGCGCGCAAGCCCACATGCCTGCGCGTGGGGGGAGCGGCAGAGGGAGAGAATGTTCAAGCAGACTCCCCCCTGAGCGCGGAGCCTAACAGGGAGGGCCCCCCCCACACCCTCGATCCCACGGCCAATGAGATCATGACCTGAGCCGAAACCAAGAATAGAAGCTCAACTAACTGAGCCACCAAGGAGCCCCATAAAGTGACAGGGGCAAGGACCGGGACAGGATTCAAATCCTGGCCAGGCCGCACATTGGTTTTCGACCTTAGGAAAGTCATTTAATTATTCTGGGTATCAGGTTCCTTTGTAAAATGGCCATAAAATATGTATGTTTAGCGGTGTGAGGAGTAGAGAATGATATTTGTAAAATACTTGTCGAGAAACAGGCACTCAACGAATGGTAATGAAATTGATTAGGAGATTTTGACTGAAGGACCCAAAGAGCAAAGCCACGCTTTGGGAAATTAACGTGGAATTTGTGATTAAAACTGATTAAAGGAAAGGAAGTAGTAAGGAGAAAACTAGTTAAGATGGCTTTCCAATCGTCTAGGTGAGAGGTAATAGAGTGGAGGGAGAGACAAACCAGGATACGTCGGTGGAGATGCCGCAATCAGGTGTCTCTAGGGGCGGGGGCTACAGATTTTGAACCATGTCTATGCAGTACGTACTGGAGGTAGACCTTAGGGCGGAGAGCCAAAAAAGCTCGAGAGGAATCCAGAGGCTTGGAAGTTTGGCGCCCAGGTACGGGAGAGCCGAAACCGGGGTGGATGGGGGTGGGGGTGGGGGGCGGGTTGTAAAAGGTTCTCCACCGCAGCGGCCTAAATCCCGTACGCGGGAGAAACTGTGTCCAGGGCCCAGGCAGTAGTCCGACTCCGCAGAGGAGGAGGGGCCGGCGGAGGCGGGGCGTAACCGCGCCTCCGCCCCGCCCGCCGAGCCCCGTCCGCCCCGCCCGCCGAGCCCCGTCCGCCCCGCCCGCCCCGCCCCGCCCCGCCCCGCCCCGCCGACCTCCGAGGGCCTCCCCGCGGGGCGGAGTCCGAGGCGCCGGTCAGCCGACCCGGGCCCGTTTGCCCTAGCTGCCCTTGCAGCCGCGAGTCCGCAGGTGCGTCCGGAGGGCCGCAGCCGCACCATGCTGGGCGTGATCAAGAACTCGCTGTTCGGGAGCGTAGAGACGTGGCCTTGGCAGGTCCTGAGCAAAGGGGGCAAGGTAGGCCCGCAGGGCTGCCGAGGACCTGAAGCGGGGCCGCCCCCCACGCACCGCACCCTGACCGGGGCTGGAGCGGGTTCTGACGGGCAGGTGGGACAGCGGTGTGCCCCACAATGTGCGTTTTGGCTCCTGCGGGAGGCACGGCCTTCCAGTGCCCAGCACGTGAACTGGGAAGGAGGAAGTAAAAGGGAAGTACGGAGCAGCGGGCTGAGGGCTCTGCTGGGAGGAGGGGGGACAAAGAGGAGAGATCGCTTTAAGAGAGGAGTCCCGGCGTGGCGATAGAACAGCGCCTGTTGAATGCATTAGTTCTTTTAAACATCCTAAGCATACCGAGCATTTGCTGAGAGGCCTTTGGGTGCAAAAAGACCGAAAACGTGCTTGTCCTCAAGAAATTCCCAACTACTGGAGAAATGAGTATAAAAGAACAAGATCTGTGCTCCAGAAGTAAACGTGCAAGGGAGGGAGCATAGGGGAAGGACCGATCCATTCTGCCAGGGGCTGATGAGGGGGACTTCCCGGAGGAAGTGTCTTTAGCTGGGTCTCTGGGATGTTAGGAGGGCGCAGAAAAGGGAAGAGCATGCGCAAAGGCCCAGAGCCGTAAAATGGTATGCTGGCCAGTGGAACTCCCAGAGTTGGGTTCTAGAATACAGGATGGGTGAAGAGGGCATAACTGCTCTATCCCCCCAAATTGACATCAGTGCTAACACAAGCAAATTGGACTGCCCCCTGAAAACAAAGAGTCTGCCACTAGATTATAGTCTCCTTGCAAGCAGGTACTTTGTGCCCTTTGTATACTCAGCTCCCCGCTCAGCACCTCATATGCTAAAGGACTGTGTTGTCTGGGGGCCAAGTTTTGGTACTTAGTGCGCTGATGGTCACACAAAAGCCCTCAACCAGACTCTAGTCTGGGCTCTTCACGCAGCTATAACCAGAGGCTGGTCACTTCATCTGTCTGTCTCTGAGTTCCCTCAACTGCACTTAGAATGACCAAGTTGAGCCCAGATCAGGGGCGACATATTCAGATGCCTACAAGCTTCCAGGCAGGCCATGGAAATGAGTGAAGCTGGCAGTGTTAGACTCTAAGGCAAGGTGGGGACTGAGGCAAATCCGAGGGAGAACTCAGGGCCCCCTCTACAAAGGGCAGTCATGTTGCTATGCAGGGATATAAACCAGGGTTGCCAGATTTTTAAGGAAAACCAGAAATCGAGATTCTTCCTGTGAACTCTCCCAAGTTAAAAGTAATGTATTCAACAAGTAATTATTTGTTGAGTGCCATCTGCATCCCGGTCACTCTTACAGGCAGTGGGGATAAAGCAAGGGACAAAACCAACAAAAACTCCTGTCTTCATGGAGCTTATCCTTTAGTGGCTAATGCACAAGTAAACAGGTCAAATACATCGTTATCAGATGGTGATCAAAGCTGTGAAGAAAAACAAGCGGGGAAGGCAGGAAGGATTAGGGAATTTGAGGAATGAGGCTGTGGTTTTGAGTAGGGCAAATCATGTCAGTTTTACCTGGTGGCAACTGGTGGCAACGAACCAGTGTTCGTAAACTGCCGGCCACGGGAATCTGTCTGTGGTGAGACTGGGCCTGCGTGAGGTGTGCACACCAGTCTGTGGACTCGGCCCAGGAATGTCTAGGATGCTTGTTGGCCCTAACGTTTAAAGAATCCCCATGTTACCAACAGCTCCCAGAGAGCTCTCCTTTCTGTAGTGGAATCCAGCTCCCTCCGTCTTTTTGGGTTAACAGACAATTGCCAATGCAGGGTCTGGGCTGTTCTGCGACCTGTCTGTCCTCAGATCTCCTCCCTCGCCCATTCCTGGGTCTCAGTCTGGAGTCTGGAGTGGAGGCTGATTCCAGTTGCCTACTTCCCAGGCTCTGATGTCAGACAACTCGCAGCGAGGTTCACCCAGAGGGAGGCACTAGTGGGAGCAGGACGGGAAGAAGGTGTTTCTCCCTCTCTTTCTCCGAACTATCAGGTCTCTGGCACCAAGAGCTTCTCTGTAGCTCCAGCTTGTTCTAAACAGGCCACCATGGTTCTAGCGTCCAGCGAATGATCCAGGTATCTGAGCGCAGGTAACAGAGAATCCTCCCTCTACGTCTCCTAGGGTACTCACCAACCTCTGGGTTGCTGCCCTGTTCCCTGTTGGGCATCTCAGCTCTTCTGTTATCTATGAAATAAGTTTCTTGGAATGAGGTGCCTCTGTTCTCTGCCTCTAGCAGTTTCTGTTTCCCTTTAGACCCTTAGTAATAACAGTGTCACCTGCCACTGATTTGGTGCCTCCAGGGATAAATACAATTCCCTGATAAGCATCTTCCCTCAACATTTGATGGGAATATGGCGCCATATGAGATATTGCTACCAGGCTGACACAGATCTTTTAACCTGAATGATCTCAGTTTCTGCAGCTGTAGAATGGGTATAAAAATCTTTCTCATCTACTCCCAGACTAATTATAAATATTAAATTTTTAAAAAACATGAAACTGCTTGGTAAAGTCATGCACCCTACAAATGTAGTAATATCATTATGTCAGAACTCATCTCAGCTCTGCTCTTGCTAGCTGTGTGGTCACAGGCAACTTACTTAACCTCTCTGAAGCCGATCACAAGAGGAAATAATAATTTGTGTCTTCTAAGAATGTTTGGAAGTTTAAATGAGATAACCATTTGTTGTTCAACAAAATATCTAGCACTTGGTTGGGTATGGTAACCACTAGCTTCCCCTTACAAGTAATTTTGGGTAAGCCACTCAACCTCCTAACCACTTTGAACCCTGAAATTCCTCAACTATAATATGAGAATGACAGTGCCTATATGACAATTACTTAACTATTCAAAGATAGTTATATGCCTTTTTAAAAAAATATACAAATTCAGGGGGATATTATTTTGAAGACAGACTCTCCCTGAAATTATCTTTCTTGCCCCGGATAGCATCTGGGTCAGGAACTGTTGCCCACTTTCTTGGGCCAAGATAGATGGCAGACAGTGGGCCCCGTGTAGCTCAGGTTTGGGCTCACCAGATGTTCAGGACTGATTGTGGTGGGGAGGTCCATGCTGCTGCGGAACTTATCAGGCACCTTCCACATTGCTTCGGGAAGGAGGGGGACACACTGTGCTCTGTGTTGGATTAGGTGGGTCTTGTGAATGCTCAGAGCAGAACTGATATGAATAACTGACATCTTAATGGGATTTTTTTCCAACCTGTGCACGTTGCTAGGACGGGTTAGGACCCGACAGCCCAGGTGTGAATCCTGGCTCTACCACTTGCCCACTGTAACTCAGGCAGGTTACTTAACCCCTTGTGCTCCAGTTTCATCTGAAAATAAAGATTAAAACACTCACTTCTTCACAGGATCATTGGAGGGATTGCATGAACACATCCATGCAAAATATTTAGAATAATACCTGACACATAGAAAGTACTGAGTTAGGTTGGCTATTATTATTATTATTAATTTTCTTAGAATGAAAAAGCTGGCTTCCAGAATCAACATGGATACCCACCCCAGCAGGTGGCAAAGAAAAAAACTGACCTTGTAGAGGACCTTGCAAATCCCATAGCAAGAGGCACTGTTGCAAGATCCCTGTCTGGGATTTGAATTTGACCAGGGTTCCCAGGGAATGTTGAAAATTGGTGTTTGCGGCCATGGGCCAAATCCTCATCTGATTGGAAGCATAAGCTAGCTGGATCTGGGACAAAGGTGGGCTGTTATGTTCCATGTGACAAGGACACACACTAAAGACACTAAATTTGAAGAATCAAATGTGTTAGCTGTGCTAATTTAGGTGCTTTTTTTTTCCTGCGGAAATAGAACTCTATTTAAATTCTGCTCCCTAAAGGACTAGAGTAGTTTTGTAATATCCATTTCTCAAACCTAAATCTTCACAGTGATCCAGTGGTTCAAATGAGAGTTTATGGGCATAGATGCTATCAAATCAGATGGGACCTGCTGTAGTACCACCTTAAGACATTGTGAGTTTGCTTTCTTCCAGCATAGATACAGTTAGACTATTGCTCATCTGTCTACCCAGCCATGTCTATTGTATTCCTTGTTCTTAGAGTAAAACCGGGTTTTACTCCACAGCCTCCTTTCCCACAAATACTCCTAGTACCTACCATATGCAAGACGTGGTGCTAGATGCTAAGAGATACAGTGGTAAACACAGACAGCCCCCGACCCCATGGGGCTTATGGTTGCAGATGGAGGTTAAGCACATTATTATTCAGTTATAATTACAATAACTCCTGTTGTGAAAGTCCAAGGGGCTATAAAAAATATCATGGGAACTTGTTTTTTGTTGTTGGTTTTTTTTTATTATTTTATTTATTTATTTATTTGACAGAGAGAGACACAGCGAGAGAGAGAACACAAGCAGGGGGAGTGGGAGAGGGAGAAGCAGGCTCCCCGCTGAGCAGGGAGCCGGACGCGGGTCTCTGGGATCATGACCTGAGCCGAAGGCAGACGCCTAATGACTGAGCCACCCAGGCACTCATGGGAACTTGTTTTAAATGAAGATCCTCTTTGAGGATGTGACTTTTAGGTTGGGACTTTGGGATAAGTAGGGGTCCATCAGGCAGGGACAGGAAAGAGGTACTCCAGGCAGAAGAGGAGGCAGGTACAGAGGCTCTGAGGCAGGAATGACCATGGCATTGAAGGAAATAGCAGAAGGCCAGTGAGGAAGTGCTCTGGGTGTGGCTGGCAAGGTAGGTAGAAGCTAGCTGGTGCCTGGACCATCTGGGAGAGGTTAAGAACTTGGTGAACGAGTGCTTTCAGGTAGGACATTCATTAACATGTCAAGTGATACAGAATGCTCTGTGTATGTTCCCTGGGCAATCTCAATTTCGTTCACAGCTTTCGTTACCCCTTTTGCTGATGACTCCCAAATTTATCTCCCCATGTCAGTCTCCTGCTGAGCTCCAGGCCCACATATCCAGCTGTGCAATGAATAGTTTGCTCATCTGTAACAGGAGGCAGATGAACTGATAGATATGAAGGGGCCCTTCTAGCCTTAGTGTTCTCTGCCTTTGGAGTTCATAGGAAGGAGGGATCACTCAAGAAGAGGAGGTGGAGTTGAGCCTTACAGACTGGCAGAATTATGGGGCGCCTGGGTGGCCTAGCCTGTTAAGTGTCTGCCTTTGGCTCAGGTAATGACCCCAGGGTCCTGGGATTGAGCCCCGCATCGCATCGCATCGCATCGGCATCGCATCAGGCTCCCTGCTCAGCAGGGGGTCTGCTTCTCCCTCTCCCTCCGCCCCTCCCCTCTGCTCATGCTCTCTCTTGCTTGCTCTTTTTCAAATAAATCAGTAAAATCTTTTTTAAAAAGATTGGTAGAAGTATCATGGGGGCCTTGGCTCTCTGAATCAAACTGGATTCCTTTCTTGGCAGCGTTTCTTTCCTTGCTGTGGACCCTCTGCCTAGGGAAGAGGCTGAGAGCACAGATCACCTATACCATCCCCAGAACTCCTTTCTGCACCAGGACCCCTCCCATTCAAAGTCCCACATTTGGATCACAAAGTCCGTTGAACTAATTTGGGGTAGATGAAACTGACTTGCACTCAGCTCACGCGCGGGGGAACAATGGTTACAAAATCCTCCCTGTGGCAGCCTAGGAGTTCTTCAGGGGTCTGGCCCCAGCCAGAATCTCCAGCCCCTCTCTCCCCAGCCTTTGCTCTAGGCCCAGTGAAGCACTTGTATTCTTCACCTGCCGCATATTGTTCTTCCCCTTTGCTCTTGTACATCTATGGTGCCCGCTACCTGAAATCACCCTCCCTGAACTATCAGAACATTTACTACATCATACGATAATTTCATAATCTTTTCACCACCCCACTAGACTCCCCTCCAAATCCATAGCACCTGTCAGAGGTTTTCAATAATATTTCCTCAATAAATCCATGCATCAGTGACTGAATGTCCAGTTGGATGATCTATAAGCACCTCAAGGTCAGCCTGACCTCGCCAAGCACATCAACACACACCCTGCCCCCCAGAATAACCGAAGTAGGCCTCTTCTGTGTTCCCATGCTGCCCTGCCTCTCCTCTTAAATATACCATCAGATTATACCCTGGTTTCCTGGCTACTTCTATTAGACCACACCCCTCCTGATGTCAGAGACTGTGTCTTTCATCAGTATCTTAGCACCTGTTACAGTGCTCAGCACATAGTAGAAACTGCATTGTTGGTGGTTGAATGAATAAGAGAAGGAAAGAAAGAATGAAGGAAAGAGCCAACCAGCTCTTTTCTCCAGTGAGAGCTTGTAATTGGTTTCTCCATCTGTGAGAGAATAAGCCGCATTCATTGACTTTAGATGCCCCTCTTCAGACTTGGACACAGGCATACAAATGTCTGTCAGAAAGAACTAACTCAGGAGCTAAAGGAAGATACTGAAAAGTGCTCGCATCATCCCCCATTTAGTACAGAGTCCTGTAGTTAGCATTAGACTAGGGTTTGGAGCCTGGAACTCTGGTTCCAGTGTGATCACTTAGTACCTGTGTGTTCCTGGGCAACTCAGTCCCTCTGGTTCCTCATTTCCTCTTTGGGAAAATCGGTTTGATTGGATGAACTTTAAAACCGTTTTCAGGCTGCAGTTCTGTGAGTCACAGAGTAGCATTTCTGGAATTTTAAACATAAGTGGCAAGACTCAATGGGACCTCAAATGAAGGGTGAATCTAGTCTCTGCTGTGACAGAGCCAGAAAGAGCAAAACACTCCAAGTTCATACAACATGGTTTGCTACTGAAGGCCCTTTGGAAATGTGACACTTTCCAAGGGGAGGGCCTCACAGCCATCCTCGGAATTAGTAGCCACAGTGGATTTGATTTGTAGCCTCTTACTCCTAGTCTGGTGCAATTTCCCCTGTCCCAAGTGAAGGGAAGTTGATGAAACTGGCATTCAGAAACCTTTCAGATTTCCCGGGGCCCTTTCTCACTATTCTCCTTTCATTTTGCATTACCAAAAAACAATAGGTATTTTTTTTCATTCTAAACATAGAATTATAATGTAAATGTACTTTTTCAGACTATACAGGACTCATGGCCCCACAGTCCTACCCACCTCCAGAGAGTCATTCTGTCCCCTTGGGGTTTGAAAAGTTTCAATCTAGGATGTCACAGGAAGGCCTATTTGCCCAGCCAGGGTGGGCCAAGTCCTCTCTCAGTGTCTGTTTTTCATAATCATTGGTAAGAGAGGCACTCCTTAATCAATAAATAAACACCCATTGAGCATCTAATTTATGATGCTCCGTGGCATAGTTTTTGTCCGCAAAGACTTTATAGCAGATTTTTCAAACTGCACCAGTGTTCCGTTACCAGATAGCAAAATCAATATAGAATACATCTTTCTTCTTTTAGTAGAATAGAATAAAATTCACTTGAGTAGAGTAGAAGTCAACAGGAAAGAAAGAAAAGGTTAGTATCAGAAAGCTTCCCCTCCATAAGGGTAAAGTATTATTTGGTGAAACTTTGTTTCAATCACGTGTATGTTCTTGATAGGGCATGATATAAAAATGCATTTCTTGTTTTGGAGCGTGATTCTTTTTCAGGTTTGAAAAACACCGGCTTATAGCATATGTTCAAGGAATACGAAATTATATCATATGAGATATCAAAGGACAAGGAAGAAGAGGGGGGATGGAGGAGGAGGGCTGCGTGGGTCCATAAGGCAAGGGATAATGACCTAAGGACAGAGACTCCCAGGGAGAGTGGTCATGATGGGCGGGGGGGGGGGGGGGGTCCTACCAGGGAGGAAGGCTTTGTGGGGGAGTGGCACTGGAGCTGAGCGTTCAGGGGGAGTGGGGGGTACGATTTAGCGAGATGAGTTGGAATGAGGAGTCAAGTCTGGGAGTACAAGTGAAGAGAACAACTCTGATTCTTTTTTTTTTAATTTTGTGAAAATTGCCATGGAGATCTTTTATTTTTATTTTTTTAATTTAAAGTCAATTAATTAACATATAGTATATTATTAGTTTCAGAGGTAGAGTTTAGTCATTCATCAGTTGTATATAACACCCAGTGCTCATTACATCACGTGCCCTCCTTAATGCCCGTCACACAGTTACCCCATCCCTCTACCCTTCTCCTTCAGCAACCCTCAGTTTGTTTTCTATAGTTAAGAGTCTCTTCTGGTTTGTCTCACTCTGATTGATTCTTCTTGACCTGCAGCCCTGCTTCTAGAATGAGGCTAATCCTGGGGCCTTTGAGTTTGTGGCATTGTTGTTGGATCTCTTTCTTTCCTCCTTTCCAATTTTCTTCTTCTCATTTTCCTGGCTCTCCTGTCATTCAGATGTTGGATCTCCTGGCTTGATCCTCTGATCTCCTTTTCTGTTTTCTACATCCTTCCTTTTTACTTGACTTCCTAGAAGATTTCCCTCAGCTTTAGCTTCTGATTTCTCCCCTGAATTTTTCATTTCTGTTGTATTTTTAATTTCTAAGAGCTCTTTGATCTCTGAACCTTCTATTTTTCTAGCATTCTGGGGATGTTCTGAGTGGCTTGGGATGCAATATTTTCTCTTATCTCTCTGAGCGTATTGATGACTTGAAGTTTTTTCTGCTGATTCCACATTTGTAAGAAATCCCAGAATCTTCTTCTCATGGCGCTTCATACTCCTACTGTCTCTTCTACCCTGTCACCATGCCCAGGTTCGTTATGGAAAAGTTCTTTAGCAGTTCTTATGACTGGGTCATTACCGCTTATTCTAGAGTAATCACAGGTTGCCACTTTTAATCTCTTAAGCATGTATATTCTGTTTCTAGGAAGATGTCTCCTATGAGGAACGGACCTGTGAGGGCGGGCGGTTTGCCACAGTGGAAGTGACAGACAAGCCTGTGGATGAGGGTCTACGGGAAGCAATGCCCAAAGTCATGAAGTACGTGGGAGGCACCAATGACAAGGGTGAGTATCCCCGAGGGGTGTGGCTCTGGTCTCAGAGGCAAGCTTGCTAGGTCTCATGTCATCAGGGGAAAATACAAGGAGGGGCCACAGAGCACCTGTCACCACCTGCTTCAGTAGCATGTGAAATTGGGCTGTGTGCACAAGGACACTCTAGGGGGACCACACTGACTTCATCCCAGCCTACCCCTCGGTGTGTGGTATCCCTGCTCCATATCACGGACGCATGCGTCTCTCCCAGGCGTGAACATACACTCTGGGGGTTTTAACCCTATAGTGCTTAGAGTATCTTTGGATTGGTTGACTGACTGAAGAAAGCCAAGTCACAGCGCCAGGCTAGCTTCAGACTTGAGACCTCTGCCTCCAGGCTGAACATCTCTGCCCCGTCCCCCGGTAGCTCAGAACCTGCAGAGCGCTGAGGCTCAGTGACTGATGAGTATGGTGGGTCCTCGGCTCTGTCCTGGCAAATGAAGGGCCTGAGAATTTTTAGGCTGTCCCACTCTTAGACATGGCAGTCTGTGCTGGCTGTGCCCCGATTTTTCAAATGATGGGCCCGAAGTTTCAGTGTGCCTGTCAGTATGTAGACCATATTTAAATATGAATTTAACTCTAAAGCTCTCTAATTTGGACTGCTCTTTAGAATCAGTGCAAACCCAAAATGGGTCAGAAAATGAGGTGAAAAAAGAGATGTGATGTTTAATTTGTAGGATATTTCTCAAGCTGATAATTTAGAAAGTCAGAAACTGGTATTAACCTCAGTTACATTTAGTAGCACCAAAGTAATCAGGCTTTGGATGATAAGGCAACCAGTACGAGGTCAGGAAGAAATCTTTTCCTTCTTAATACTGTTGCAACTTTTTTTTAGAAGAATATATGTATAAAAATGATAAAACTCGGGGTGCCTGGGTGGCTCAGTCAATTGAGCATCCAACTCTTGATTTCACCTCAGGTTGTAATTTCAGGGTATTGAGATCAAGCCCCAAGTCGGGCTCCATGGGCAGCACAGTCTGCTTCGGATTCTCTCTCTCCCTCCCACTCCCTCTCCTTCTGCCCCTCCCCCCCAATAAATAAATAAATCTTTAAAAAAACTCTTTAAATGATTAAACCTTAAAGAAAATCTTGAAAATAACAAAACAGCACCCCTGATCCATCTTTTTTAATACAATCCTTGTTGTCTTCTGACTGTATTTCTTTAGGGCTTTTTAATAGGCCTTTAAAATTTAATCATAGTGTTTGTGCAATTGTACATCCTTCTGTTACTTATAGTTACTTATAGCTATTTTCCACTATTGCTAGTCTTCTGAAGCGTAATTATTGATAGCTACACTATATTGCACGATGTATAATGTGTCTAATTTACTTAGACATATTCCTGTTTTGAACATTTATATGGCTCCCAATTTCTCACAGTTAACAAATTTTGCTACAATGAATATCCTATTACCTAGAGCCTTTCCCATATTTTGGATTACTTCCTTAAAATTTATATTTAAATAGTAATTAGAGGGGCACCTGGGTGGCTCAGTCATTAAGCGTCTGCCTTCAGCTCAGGTCATGATCCCGGGGTCCTGGGATCAAGCCCCGCATCAGGCTCCCTGCTCAGCAGAGAGCCTGCTTCCCCCTCTCCCACTCCCCCTGCTTGTGTTCCCTCTCTCGCTGTCTCTCTCTGTCAAATAAATAAATAAAATTTTTAAAAATTTTTAAAAAACTAATTAGATACTGAAATATTTACAGTCTTGTTATATATTACCAAGTAATTTTTTCCAAACGAGTTGAGTCACTACAGTTCTATTTCCAATATATACAAATAAGAGGTGTTTCATATGTATCTGACTATACATTTTTAACACCTACCAGGTTTGTTATCAATTTCAAGAACAAAACATACTGTCTTGGAGGAGGAATGAGACTAGCAGATTTTCCACAGTCCTGAGCAAGTTCTGTCTGTAATACCCACCTCACTCTGTGGGTTTTTCTGTTTTCAGGAATCGGAATGGGGATGACCGTTCCTATTTCCTTTGCTGTGTTTCCCAGTGATGACGGCTCCCTACAGAAGAAATTAAAAGTCTGGTTCCGGATTCCAAACCAGTTTCAGAGCAACCCGCCGGTTCCCACGGATGACAGCGTTAAGATAGAGGAGAGAGAAAGCATCACTGTCTATTCCCTGTAAGGAGATGATTCTTTAGGCATCCAAGGGTAACACCTGATCTCCATAACCATTTCTTGACCATCTGCAGTGAGCATTTGCATTACATTTATATTTTATTCCAGTTTTATTGAGATCTAATTAACCTATAGCATTGTATTGACTTACGGTGTACAACATATAATGCTTTGATATATATAAATATTATGAAATGATCACCACAATAAGTTTAGTTAACATCCATCATAGTTACCATGTCTTTTTCTTGAGATGAGAACTTTAAAGATCTGCTTTCTTAATAACTTCCAAATATACATGACAGCATTGTTAACCATAGTCACCTTGCTTTGCATTACATTCCCAGGACTAATTTATCTTATAGCTGGAAATCTGTACCTTTTGCCCACCTTCACCCATTTCTCCCGCTCCCCACCCACATCCCATCTCTGGCAACCACCAATCTCTTCTCTGTATCAATGAGTTCAGTTTTGTTTTTGTTTTTTTTTTTGAATTCTACATATAAGTGAGATCATAGAGTATTTTCCTTTCTCTGTCGGGGTTATTTCACTTAGCATAATGTCCTTAAGATCATGCATGTTGTCACAAATGGCAGATTTTCTTTCTTTTTTTATGGCTGCCTAATATTGCTTCATATATCACATTTTTATCCATTCATCTCTTGATGGACCCTGAGTTTGTTTCCGTATCTTGGCTATTGTGAATAATGCTGCAGTGAACATGGGAGTGCAGATAGCTCTTCAAGATACTGATTTCATCCCTTTAAAAAATTTTTTTAAAAAAAGAAGATAATGATTTCAATACCCTTGGATATATACCCAGAAATGGAACTGCTGGATCATAGGGTAGTTCTACTTTTAATTTTTTGACGAACCTCCATACTGTTTTCCGCAGTGGCTGCCCCACTTCCCATTCCCACCCACAGTACACAAGGGTTCCCTTTGCTCCATAGCCTTGCTAATACTTATTTCTTCTCTTTTTGATACTAGCCATTCTAATGGGTGTGAAGTGGTATCTCACTGGGGCTTTGATATGCATTTCACTAATGATGAGTGATCTTCAGCATCTTTTCATATACCTACTGGCCATGTGTATATCTTCTTTGGAAAAATGTCTATTCAGATCCTCTGCCCATTTTTTAATCAGAATGTTTGGCTTTTTTGCTATTGAGTTGTAGGAGTTTTTTATATATTTTGGCTTTTAATTCCTTATCAGATGTGTGATTTGCAAATATTTTCTCCCATTGAGTAGGATGCCTTTTCATTCACTCTCCCATTGAGTAGGATGGTTTCCTTTGCTGTACAGAAGCTTTGTAGTTTGATGCAGTCCCATTTGTTTATTTTTGCTTTTGTCGCCAAATACAAAAGATTATTGCCACGACTGATGCCAAGAAGCTTACTCCTTATGTTTTCTTCTAGGAATCTTATGGTTTCAGGTCTTATGTTCAAGTCTTTAATCTATTTTGCATTGTTCTTTGTATATGGTGTAAGATAGAAGTCCAATTTCAATCTTTTGCCTGTTGCTATACAATTTTCCAGACACTGTTTATTGAAGAGACTGTTCTTGGCTTCTTTGTTGTAAGTTGGTTGACCATACATGCATGAGTTTGTTTCTGAGCTCTCTATTCTGTTTCATTGACCTATATGTCTTTTTTATGCCAATGTCATACTGTCTTGATTACATTAACTTTGTAATACAGTTTGAAATCAGAAAATATGCTTCAGCTTTATTCTTTTTTTCTCAAGATTGCTTTGGCTATTTGGGGTCTTTTGTAGTTCCATATAAATGTTAGGGTTGGTTTTCTATTTCTGTGAAAAATGCCATTGGAATTTTGATGGAGATTGCATTGAATCTGTAGATTGCTTTTGGTAGTATGTCACAATTAATTAATTGTATTAATACAATTAATATTAACATATTCATTAACAATTAATTAATTATTAACAATATTAATTCTTCCAATCCATGAGCATGGAATATCTTTTTCATTTATTTGTGTCTTCTTTAATCTTCTTCATTAATGTCTTACAGTTTTCAGTGTACAGATCTTTTGCCTCCTTGGTTAAATTTATTTCTAGGTATTTTATTCTTTTTGATACAAATAGGTTTATTTTCTTTATTTCTTTGTATTATTGATGAATTAAGTTAAATACTGAGTCTTGACAATTTCTCATTTCATTTTCTTCAGTTTACAGCACACAAACATTTGCATTATGTCTGAATAAATACTTTGCCAGTTGCCAAATTAATGTGGATAGAGTATCCCCACGGCTTAAGCTGAACATCTACATTAGCCACAGTAGGGTTCTGGGAGACTCAGGGAATATCTAAGTCAAGCTGTTGTTTGGGGTCATGAATACATAAATGAGTACATGAATATATATAGGACTTGGGGGCCCTCCTTTTTACCCCATGCTCTTCTTGAATGCCAAAAGGGCAGGGAGTATTTGCCAGAACTGGACTGCCCACCCCCTCAGTTGTTCATTGTCCACAGTCCTTTGAGCAGGGCACACAGGCATCCTATTTTCATTCGTATCCTGTTTCCAGAGCCCCATTTGGGGTTGTGTTCCTTTTGACTATAGAGCATTAACAGGTGCAGATGGTTGCATGGTTTTATTCTTTGGGCCCAACCTCCCTTCAGAAACCAAGTCTGTTGTAGAGAATCAGTGACTCCCCATTTGTTAAAACCCTACTTTGTGACAAGCACTGAACCATGTACAGTCACAGACCAGGATCTTTTCCAATATTAACTACAGGTGTGGATTTGGTTCTACTCTAGAACAACCTGAAGAAAAATAAATACACAAATAATCTTGTACTGGACAGTTTTTGTCCGCTCCCAGGGGCCTCCAAACCTACTTATTTGGCTGCCTTGCCCCAACACTGCAACCTGAGGGTGTAGCTTTCTCTGGAGCTAACACTAATGCTGGGAACGTGAGCTGGGCTGCTCTGGGCAGTCGTAGGCCGGGTGACGCACGCCCCCCAGAGGACAGTGAGTGTACTGCAGCCGGGCCGCTGGCCCTAGAACCTCCGGCTCCTCTACTCCACTCATCCTTCAGACCTCCCAGCCTTCACTACAGAGGCTGCAGGGAAAGCAAACTCTAGGTAAAGAATATCTTTCCCAAGGGCAGGGACTAGGGTGGGGAAGCGAGGTGGCTGCAGTACAAAATTTAAGGAGGCACCCACTTTCACAATTGTCCAAGTGCAGGATTGGCACTGTGAGTGTGTGCCTCCTTAAATCTTGGGTGCCGTGTCTTGGGTGCCACTGTCTCACCCGCATTCCTTCTCCCTCTTTTCCACTCTCTTGCCCATGTGTCTTGGGAGGCAGCCTGGGGCACTCTAGTGAACAAGTCTATTTTAGTTTGAATCCCACTCAGCCTCTCTAAGACAGTTTCCCCATCTGTTAAGTGCCCATAGCAACCTACCTCATAGGACTTTTACTAAAGAGTATCTTTCAGTAGTTAATAAGATGCTTCTGTTTTTACAGAAGACTTAATGTGTGTGACCTGTGGGAGGTGTCAGTAATTATTTTTTCCCTTCGCCCCTTTTGATTTCATAAGGACTGAGGTTGACGTGATTAAATCAGTTCACGTAAGCCTCCAAGTAGATGGGGCTGTTGTTTTAGCAAAGCCAGGGTAATGAGCAGGTCTGATGGTTTTCTTTGGCCCTTACCTTTTTAGTATGGAAATTCTCAAACTTATAAAAAGATAGAATAAGATAATGAGGGGCGCCTGGGTGGCTCAGTCGTTAAGCGTCTGCCTTCGGCTCAGGTCGTGATCCCAGGGTCCTGGGATCGAGCCCCGCATCGGGCTCCCTGCTCAGCGGGAAGCCTGCTTCTCCCTCTCCCACTCCCCCTGCTTGTGCTCATTCTCTCTCTCTCTGACAAATGAAAAAAAAGAATAAGATAATGAACCCATCACTCACCTTCAATAATAACTCAAGGCCAGATCTGTGTCGTGTGTACCCTCACAACTGCCACCCAGCCCCTCCACTGGGTTATTCTGAGGCGAATTCCAGACATTATATTTTCCTCCATAAATACTTCAGTGTGACTACTAAAGACTTTTTAAAAATACAATCCTAATGTCTTATTACTCCTAACATTTTTTTCAGCATGTCATTAATGTTATAATAATAGAAACTGTCCAGTGTTCAGATTTCCCCCATTACTCTGATCATTTGTTTTTAAAGTTTGTTTGAACCTGGATCCAAATAAAATCCATCCATGGCAGTTGGCTGGTACACCTTTTAAGCTTTTACTAATCTGTGGCTCTTCTCTCTACCGCACCTTTCTATTTTTCAAGGCTGCTTATGGATCATTTGTCCTACTGTTTCCCATAGCCTGAATTTTGTAGACTGCCTTTCCATGGTGTTTTAACATGTCCTCTGCCTCCGGCGTTGCCTGTAAGTTAGCAGTTAGAACCAAAGGCATGGGCAGCTTCAGGTTGGCGCCTTCGGCCAGGATGTTTCATAGGTGGTGGTGTATACTACCATGGGGGGCTCATCCCGTTTGCTTGCCTCTGTTTTTGTGATGTCAGTAACTGTAGATCACCTTACCTAGATGCCTTGCTTCATTTGAGTTTGTAAAATGATTGTGTCCTCCATTTTTCCTTCACTTATTAGCTGGCACACTTTGATAAAGAGAAACCTCCTCTCGTCTGCTATTTGGTTTCCCTGAGATGGAGTCACAGAAAAAAAGGCAAGACACCTTCTTGTTAGCTTGTTGCCTTCTCTTGCCTGTTTTCAGAAGGCTCCGCAGGGAAGGTGGCGTTGGTCTCTGTTTTTCTGAGGATCAGGATAAACATACGAATTGAAACATAACTGATGTGTTTCAGTTCTTTGCAGTTGTTCTTACTGATGCTCACGTTGTCCTATCTTTGGCCAGTGGGAGCCTCTTCAAGTTGGTTTCCTAGTCCTTTTGACAGGACTCTAGTACTCTATGGTAGCTTCCTTGCTGTCTGGTGTGACAAGATGTTCCAAGCACATCTTGGCATTTCTTGCC